TTGGTGGGGTGTTGTTTCAAATGGAAACACTAACCCTGGTTGCAGGTTTCCTTGAAGGATGTTCCAAGGAGTCCAATGACAGCCCGCCGCTTCAGCCAGCTTTGACACAACAACCTATCTGGGGTCTCCTCGGCTTGAGGCAAGAGAAAGCGGACCGGCGGTGGCATTTGCCTTTGCAGGCCTGGTCGATAGGGCGGATGTCAACAACGTCGTTTGTTAAACTACAGACACGGAATTCTTTCCTGCTTGCTATGTGTTAGCATTTTCCTGTGCAAAAAGGTCAGTGTATTGTTGACCTGAAACAAAAACAACTAAGAGTCCCATAATAATAGTAATAATAATAATAATAATAATAATAATAATAATAATAATAATAAACAAAATAAGACACTGCTTGCACATGATCATGGTTTACCTAAGCTTATTCCAATCTTTGGCACTGTGCCGCAGAAGTGCGGCTGTTCGCTGCTTCTGCGAAAACGATGGCTACGGCAAGGGTTCCATGGGTGCCTTTGGCACGTTCCTTGGGTCGCGGAACGGGGTGAACAACTTCCAGGCTGAACCCGTTTTGCCACATGCGTCGCCTTCCGCCACATTGCCTTGCATGTGACTTCCGGTCAGCACCAGCCTTCGGCCTGCCCTTGTTCAAGTATGTCGCTCGTTGAGATGTTTGGGAAAAGATTCTGCAAGGGAATCTCCGGTGCAACAGGCTCATTCAGCTTGACCAGCCTTATTTCACCCTTCCTTTGTGAATCAACCGTTGGCGCAGACCAGATATTTAGAGCGCTAAATGTAGAGAGTTGAGACATATCCACATGTCCGGGAGGATGCCAAAAAATGACACCCCCCGAAGACCACTAACACGGTCCAAACCCGCAAAGTGACCGAAGTCCGAAACGGAACTCAGGAAGTAGATGACACCCCGGTTTACGACTAAAATCCGGTCCAAACCCACCATGGAAGTGACGCTTGGTGGTCCTTGTGGTCAAACAGATGAGTCACGTCCTCAAGACCCGGGGAAGTGAAGCCATGCGGACATCCGCCTTAATTCTCAAAGCATGGTTCCGGGTCGCCTATTTCAACACCGGGTTTTGATTCTGACTCAGATGGGGAACCCCCCCAGGTTTCGTTTCGGCGAAAACGTGGCGTGGCAGTGGCACCGGATCAGGATGCCGCTCGCCCCGGCTGCGCTGGTGGCCTTAGACCCTTGTCCAGAGGGGAGGCCCGGGGCTGAGTGATGTCCCACGGCCCAGTGGGGTGCGAGCCAACTTGCTCCCCCTTGAAAGTTCAACCTTTTTGTTGGGAAGGGTTCCGATTCCTTTAAAGTCAACCAAAACTTTATTGTCAAACAACCAAAAAAGGATGAAGAACCTGTTTTTGTCATGGAAATCCACTGGGCATCTGAGCGCTGGTGGTTTGGAACCTTTGCCTCGTTCCTTCGCTTTCAGATTGCAAGAAGATATGGGGGTTGATTCATATTCCTGCCCCGAGAATGACCATGGGTTTGTTTTTCCCGCTTGATGGGACATATCATTTTTTGGCCGGTGTCCAATGGTCAATGGTCATGTAAAGGACCGTGTGATCAACCCCCATATTGCAACGGTGCAGCTGACACATGTTGAGTTTTCTTTTCCCAGGACTTGCATTCACACGCGTCGATGCACACACACAATTCAGTTTGGCAAAGGCGTGTCCTAGAATCGGCTCCCCCCAAAGAAGTGGTGTCCTTCTTGGTTTGGCTTCAAGCCACAACCAAAAGGGGATAGAAAAGTATTCCTCAAGGAGCTGGTCTCGCTCCCCGCGGCATTTTCCACAAAGTTCCGTTCTTTGACCGCCAGGTAGACTTTCACCCAAGAAATTGTTTGGGGGAAACCCACCGGGTTTCAGTCCAGGGGGTCGAAACACACAAAAAACGCAGGAAACTCCGAAACTCAGGTTGCCCCTAATTGGTGGCTTAGATTGGTTTGGGGATTTGAACCCTGGCTCTTGCAGAAAAATAGATGGGAAACGCCTCCAAGCCACCCAATTAGTGGGAAACCGCGATGGGAGGTGACCCGTCCAATGCACCACTCTCCAAACCGCCTAATTCGAGGGCCGCCTCAACCACCACTCATCCAAACCACCCAATGAGAGGGAAGCAGGGTGCTCCAATTCACCACTGATCCAAACCGCCAATCAAAAGGGTTTGGTTACAGGACAATTTACAGGAAAAGGTCCCAAATCACCCCAAATCCGCTGTTTTCCAACGTAATTTCCGGTCGCCTCACTTTTTGAACCGATTCGAGGGAAGCGGAGAAACCCTCCGGCGCTTTGGCGAGGTGATCCCGGCGGAGGAGGCCACTGCCTGGGCCCAGTTCGCCGCTGCCAGGCCCAGGCGCGAGGAGAAAAAAAAATCGGTCGGGGCCGTGGGCTGGGCGCTGGGCGCTTGGAGTGCCACGTGTTTTGCGGTCTCGCGACCTGCGGGTTTCTCCGGACGTTCGGAGCGGGGTACCTTCCAGCTCCATTTTTTCCAGGGGCCCTTGATTTTTTTCGGGACACCATCCAAAAGCCCAGGGGAAACCGCCGGTTGTTGAAAAGAAAGAATGGTTGAAGAGAAGGGGGAAACAACCCCTAGACATGTGTTTTCTCATCAACTTGACCTGTTGGCCGGCGAGCTAGTTGACGATTCCCCCTTTCTCAAAGGTTGTCGCGAGGCTCAAGTCGCTGTCAAGATGCGCAGGTTGCACTCACACCTTTCCAAGCAGTTTTGCTAGAAGGCCGTCTTTTTTGAGGGCACACCCTAAAATGGCGGGTGTTCCTTTTGGAAAACACCACAGACCCAGGAGACGTACAGTTTGACACTCTTTGGGGTCAGGTTGACACCTGCAACTGTGAGGGATGTGGGAAGCGACAGACCCTAGAGGCACCCGGCAGAGCACGGAAAGAATAAAGCAGCAATCCTGTGGTGCAAATTTGCTCATAAATGATATAGCGCGGTTGCCTCGTATTAGACAGATGCCCCCTTGGTTGATCTTGACAGTTGCGATTGGACCAACCACTGGGTGCTTCTGGAAATAGAACTCGGAACCCACAAAGGCTACCCAGAGCCGGAGCCTCGGCCTTGCGCATGGCAGGCCGAGCACTATGCCGCTGCCCGTACCTGGCAACATGGAAGCCGAAGGATGGGGTTTGCCGGAGCATTTGTACTGCCCCAATGAGAACCCCGCATGAAGGGTGTCCCCTTTTAGTGCGCGCCGGGAACATACCCACCCGTGCGTTTTGTTGCCTGTCTGCGGTTTTTGTGATTGAATTATCAAGCAGTTTGACAAACGTGCATCTTTGTGGGTCTTTGAACATCCCGGTAACTAACTCATTTCAGAGTACAGCCGCGCATTTTTTGTTCTAGTCAGGACACATGGCAGTAAGACGATGTCTGGGCTGCCAGAAGCCGGGGCACCGGCTGGAAACATGTCCTATCCCAGTGGAACTTGAAATCCGCCGCCTTCGTGGGCTGGGTTGTTTGTAGTTTCGCTTGAGCGGGTGCACTTGAGCGGGTGTTCTTACCATTTGGCATGCGTGTGTGCAGTGCTGAGCGGGTGCACTCAGCGGGTGTTCTTGCCATTTGGCATGCGTGCGTGCAGCGCAAAGCACATGCACCTCAGCGGGTGTTCTTACCATTTGGCACGCGAGTGTGCAGTGCCGAGCGGGTGCACTTACGCGGGTGTTCTTACCATTTGGCGTTCTTGCGTGCAGCGTTGAGCGGGTGCTCTTGAGAGGGTCTTCTTACCATGTTGGCGGGGGTAAAGCCACTTCGACTTGCAGGTGGGTAAATACCCGGTACCTTTCAGTGGGGATTCATCACTTTTTGGAGGGGAACACCCCCCCTAATTATAGAACCGGGCCGGTTTATTCATATTATGGGTCAACATTGCCCTTCTCCAACATGGAATTGGACAGAGGGGTGTCCCAAAGGAAAACAAGTAGTTTTCAAATGCCCTGTCAGGCTTGACGGGGGCTGTTCAGGCGGTGCACCATCACAAAATTTGAACATGGGTCAAATTGAATTCCACGTCGATGGCTTGCTAGTGAAAACCGATCAGCTGGAC